ACATGATTTTGGTTGGTAATGTATTACCCACCAAGTTTTCTCCAACAAAGCTTTTAGCAAGCAAACCCATGTTGCTGAAGGACTTTCAGCAACATAGGAACCACTTTCAGCAACATAGGAACCACTTTCAGCAACATGCGAACCACTTTCAGCAACATGCTTCCATGTTGCTGAAACCAAGGATTTTAGTAGTGATATTTTGATTTTTTGAATATTAATTTTATATTAAAATTTAAATAATTAAAATTGTTTAATCAAATAAAAATATTCAATAAAATTACATATAGGAATATAAATTTTTAATTGTAGTTCATATTAATTATTAAATTTTTATTTAACATTTATATTTTAAAAGTAAAAAAATCAAATTAAAACTATTAAAATTGAATAGGACTGAAGGAGTAATCTTTGGTTTGATCTCTTCATGTAAACTGCAGAATAATCTTGCCAAAATGAGTTGAAATGAGTCATATCCTCATCTCAATAATTTCAATCGTCTCATTTTTTGCAGGTGACATTTGGTCAGTGTTGTAGGTCACAAAGTGCAAGTTGAACTTTTTTATGCATGATCGTTCACTCTCAAGTGAACAATCATACCGAGAAGCTAGAGGAGCTAGAGGAGTCTAATAGTAGCCCTTTGAATTATGTCCTCTAGGAAGTGTCCTAGAAGTTGGGTCTTCATAATGGATGGTCTAAGCTTGAACCTTAACATGGATGGGAAGTGATTTGGAAAAAAAATGGGTTTCTTTTTATTATTATTATTATAATTATTTATTGCATTATCCATTATGGTGGTGCATACTGATTTCAATTGTATGCAATTGCTTTTGATATCATCAAAGGAGCAATTTGCTATGAAAGTATAATTTTTGCAGTAGTTTGTAATCTTGTATGCACAACATGTTGGAATTGTATTTCACATTCTAATCTCAACGTAAAGAAGAAAACCCACAACCAAAACTTACTCATCTTGCAACTTTCTCTTCTACGTACTTAGATGATTCTTTTGATAAAGTATAGTAGCATCCCATTAGGATTTAAGGGAAAAACAAGTCAATAGACTTTTTTGTATCTGCGTTAGATTTGAAGACGGCAAAGACCCATTTGGCCACCAGCCTTTGTCTCCATCATGTCTTATCACAATTTCCACTAGCCATTTCCCTCGAATTGGAGCTTGAAAGTGAAGTTTTGGGGCATTGAAGGACATACCAAAGTCCTAAACTCCTAAATTTTCAAGGTGGCACCTTACCTTTCTTAGGGTATAATGCTTAAAATATTATTTTAAAAATGATTTTGAATTCCAAAATTTGGCTTAATTCAAACATGTCCAAATTAACTTTCCTTGTAAACAACTCCGGATTCCATTGTTTGAATTGATAATCAAAGTACCCTTCCTAAGTTGCTGCATTTTCATTGGAATGGAGGCAAAACGAATCCAAAACATTCTTAATTCAATTTATAAATTATAGGATAATTGAGTAGTTGTGACTTTCCTTTCATGAAAAATGGCATGATTACAATGCAAGGCATGCATGACAAAGATACATGTTTCCATGTGAAAGCTACTTGGATGGTTCATTTATAAATTACAGGATAAGAAATGATGGTTATGTTATAATTAGCCGCAAGTGCTCTTCACATGGCCATATTGTTTCATTCATGATAGAGAAGGTTGAGTTTTGACTTATATGGTTCCACTTAATTAAAGATCTATTAAGCTGGTTTTTTTAGTTGAATTTAACTGTTAATTGAAAGATAATTACAACTTTAAAAAAAATTTTAAAAAATATTTTTTTGAGAATAAAAATAAAGAGAGTAAAACTTTAATTTAAAACTTTTTAGATTAATTTTTCTTTACTTTCTGTGGATAAAGATGATTAAGTATCATAGTCATCAAAACCCACTATTAAATACTAAAACATCTCTAAACAACTTATATTTGAAAAAAACGATATTGTAATATAAAAAAGCAAGAATTAAGTTTATTTACCTCCTATAAGGCTTAGAAGTGAAATTGAATTGACGGGAATTTCTCTTTTATAGAGGGTATTGGTTTGGGTTTGAAAAATTGGCACCTAAGAGTCTACAAATAGAGATAAATGTACTATAAATTTTGGACGTTTCCTTAACTTACTTGTCTCTTTGTCTTAATATCACAAGATAATACCAATTGTATGGTCGTTGGGCTTGAAAACAGAACAAACCCCAGTTTTGGAAGTATATGGGGAGCTTTCTTGCAATTCCCGCACTTAACCCCCACTAAGAAACAAAACTGAGGGCAATGTTTGTCTTTGTAAGGGCATGTTTGGCTGCATCTAGTCTTTGGGAATAAATAAAAGCCTTTAGGCCAGCCCTGATTCCCTGACCACCTAATGCAAAGACAAAAACCAATAAAAGTGGAAGTTTTAGATGGAGAAGTAAGAGAGGGAGGTAAAGACAAAAGCTTTAGAAACTGCTGAAATGAGAGAGGAAATTTAGGCTCGTCTACTCATAAAATTCCATATTCCACTGGAGGAAGGAACGACAACAAATCATAAACCGACAAATCCACCTCTCACGCATTGTCGACAACGTTACCGTGAACAAGTTGAGAGCTTTAAATGAATTTGAACCCCTTTATGCCTCATCTCTGTTTGGAAACAGAGAATACCTCCAATACCCAGAGAAGCTTTGGGCATAGAGAGGTTCAAGGAACAGGCTTGGGGAATTATCTTGTGCTTTCATATGGGTTCTTGATCAATTGCAATACCCAGTAAGGATTATGACTCTCTTGCTTTGTTTTACAAGTTCTTGTTCTGTTGTTTGCTAAGCTCAGAAGTGTCTTTCTTTTTTTTTTTTGGCCTGTGTACTTTTTTTTCTTCTATAATTATTGCCGCCTTTTGTTGTTTTCTTTCGGGATTGATATGGATCGGTGAAATTTCTTACACCCAGTTGAGCTTGTGTTGTGATTATTTCATCTTTCATCAGTTTCTCTAATTGGGGTGTTCTTGTTGTTAGATCAGAATAATTCATTCATTTTACACCTGACCTTTTTCATTCTGGATATGTAGTCTGAGGCATTTCTCTAAGTCTTAGTTCTTCTTGATTCTGAATCTGCTTTGTACTCGTCAAATTCTCTGAAAGAAAACATTTTTCTTCCACTTTAAGATCATGAAACTTGAGTCCTGGACAGGCGTTTTCACATTGTCCCGCAAAGCCTAGACCTTCATATTACGCATTATCTTTTGTGAATTCTGTTTGGTGGTCAGCCATTCTGGCAATTGTAATCTGCCTGTATTCCTGTGATCCATACAGTTTTGTGGTTCTCTCATAGAGTTGTAGTACCTATGTTACAAGAGGAGTCATCATCTGTAACGTCATCGCCTCTCCAAGTTTTCTCCATGATGTCACTCTCACCTGGCTTAGGATCACCTTACCAGTGGCTTAGAGAGCTGAAATCTGAGGAAAGGGGTTTATATTTGATCCACTTATTGCTCACCTGTGCCAATCATGTAGCAGCTGGAAGTCTTGAAAATGCAAATATTGCCCTTGAACAAATATCCCAATTGGCCTGTCCAGATGGTGATACTATGCAGCGGATCTCTGCTTACTTTACTGAGGCACTTGCAGATAGAATCCTCAAAGCTTGGCCCGGTCTCCACAAGGCTCTTAATTCCACCAGGATGTCTTTGGTTTCTGAAGAAATTCTTGTTCGGAAACTGTTCTTTGAGATGTTTCCATTCCTGAAAGTGGCTTTTGTTCTTACCAACCAAGCCATAATTGAAGCAATGGAGGGTGAAAAGATGGTTCACATAATTGATCTCAATGCAGCTGAGCCAGCACAGTGGGTTGCTCTCATTCAAGCTTTGAGTGCAAGGCCAGAAGGACCACCACATTTGAGAATCACTGGAATTCATCAACAGAAAGAAGTCTTGGATCAAATGGCTCGCAGATTGACTGAAGAAGCTGAAAAACTGGATTTACCATTTCAGTTTAATCCTGTTGTTAGCAAAGTGGAGAATCTTGATATTGAGAAATTACGGGTTAAAACAGGGGAGGCTCTAGCAATCTGCTCAGTTCTCCAACTGCATTTGCTGTTGGCCTCTGATGATGAACTCCAACGGACCAGATCACCATTAGCATCAAGGAGCTTGAATGGAGTTCACTTGCAAAGAGCACTTCAAATGAACCAGAGCACCCTAGGCGAGTTGCTTGAAAGAGATATGGCTAACGGGTACAGCCCTAGCCCTGATTCAACCTCATCGTCACCATTATCTTTAACTGCTTCAGTATCAATTGACAGCTTTCTTAATTCCCTATGGGGTTTGTCGCCAAAACTGATGGTGATTACAGAACAAGATTCTAATCATAATGGATCTAATCTCATGGAGAGATTATTGGAATCCCTTTATTCTTATGCAGCATTATTTGATTGTTTGGAGTCTGCTGTCTCAAGAACATCCTTGGAGAGAATGAAAGTAGAGAAGATGTTGTTCGGAGAGGAAATAAAGAATATAATAGCATGTGAGGGAGTTGAGAGGAGGGAGAGGCATGAAAAACTTGAAAAATGGATTCAGAGGCTTGATCTGGCTGGCTTTGGAAATGTGCCTTTGAGTTACTATGGCATGTTGCAGGCAAGGAGATTCCTGCAAGGTTATAGCTGTGACGGGTATAAAATGAAGGAAGAGAATGGATGCATGGTAATCTGCTGGCAAGACCGGCCACTCTTTTCGGTTTCAGCCTGGAGATGTAGGAAGTAAACTATACCAAAAACAAAAAAAAGTTATCTGGTGTTTGAGTTTTTTTTTTCCTCTCCCTTCTTTTCCTACTATGGAACTCCAAAAGGTTTTTGATACTCTTAGAATGACTAGAAGGGCCCCCCTTATGCTCTTAGGGAAACTTGTAATCTTTTTCCTTGTTTTTTGGTAATTTTGGTAATTTCTAAGCTACTTTTCTTTCTAATATGAATGGAACTCAATCTTGAGCTTTGGTGTGTAGTGATTGAAGCTGATATTTTGAGTGCAATGTACAGTTTCATCTCCCTCTGTTCTCCTTGTTCCCTGCATCTCCGCAACAAATTTTCTGGTATATGCTCGCGAGTATTATATATCTTGTTTATCTTCTTACTATTAATATACTCTAGTATCATACACTATCAAACAAACCAGAAACGATGCTTTATTAATCGAAAAATTACATGCCATGTGTATTGGCTTATTCATACGAACATACATAATGATATTATTATCAGAGAAGACCTCATGAGCACTGCAATTCATCCTCATGCTCCACGTTTCATGCAGATGGCACCGTAGCCTGAGACGAATACAGAAAGCAATCAAAAGAGAAGGAAAAAAATCCCTTCGAAGAGAAACAAATTTTGAAAGAAACTAACTTCTACATTTTGTTCCAGGCTGAATTGTTTTCCTACAGGTTTGTGCCACATGTGTGGCCATGTCCAAGCTGATCATTTGTTCCATGTCATTGGTAACTAAATTACAAGCACAGGGCACATGGTCCTCAAAAAAGGCACAGCACCCTTCTGATGGTGCAATCTTGGGGCCTGATTTTTTAACATATCTTTTGCATTGTGACACAAGACCCTTCACGTCAGCGTCACAGGTTTTTGCCAAGACATGGTCACCGGAAATCAATATCTGACCGGTGATAATATTGCCCAGGCCAAGACTGAAATCTAAAGACTTGAAAATGCCATGTTCACTTGTCTTGACTTTATATTATCATTTGGGCTGAGATTTATGTGTAGAATGATGTGGCTTCAAAAAAAAAATTTTTTTGATAAGCAAATTTTTTTGATAAAATAATCATAGATTAATTGATTAAGAAGTATAGTATATCAAATAACTCTATGATAGGCATCAGATAGGCAAAGAAAAATTAAAAATTATACAACAATCCCTAAATAGATCCACATATATTTTGGAGTTATACCTGCAAGATATAGTAATAAGTGATAAACTCTTGTAAATGGATCTAAACAATTAAAAACAAAAAGTCACATAAAACTACAAGATAACAAAAGTAATCACTGCAAAGGTACAAACTAGGGTTATAGCGTAGTTGGACAACTACTTTAGCCTTCTCTAGCACTTGAAGTCTCTTCTCATATGCTAGCTTCAGTTTCAGAGTAAAAAAATCTATCACTCATGTATTGTCTCCTCCTCTATCATGGTGAAAGTCAATAAAAATATTGAGAAAGTTTAGATAAAAATCCTTAAAAAAAAAAGACTCTTTTTCCAAAAAGAAACCTTTACAAAGAAGGAAAAACACTTATCTATTGTTCATTCTCCTTAACTACGGTGGAGAAGAGAGAGTCCACAATGGCTAAAGAGACATAATAAAAAAGAAAAAAAGAAGAAGAAGAAGAAACAAAAGAGAGTGCGATGAGTATGAGAGAAAGAAGAAGAGGGGTTGTGAGCAAAATGAAGTAATGGGAATATAAGGGGTATAGTTCATCAACACCCAGCAGTATGACTACACTTGAACTACCTTGAAAAATCCGGATTGGATGTGGCTTCAAATGTATTAGTTAGTAGGTGAGTGGGTGTTTTTTCTTTTAAAAAGTACCTACATTTGTCTCCTTCATCACCTAATTCTTTCCATTATGGATAAGTGTGGCTTAGTGGATTTGGTTGCATATATATAACATCATGACACATGTAAGAGATCAAAGTCATAGGCTAACATATACAAGAAACCATAACATTGAAAAAAAAAAAAATCTAAGAAAGCAGAGAGTCACTCCAACTATATTTGTGGCATACACGCGGCATTGTGACAGATGTTATAACATTAGAATTGTCTTAGCAGATTCAAACTCTTCACCTACCTGTTTTTAAGTTTGAGTCAAATACATTAATGTTAAAGATTGAGCCACAAAACATTAGGCCACAAGGGCCAACTTTAGAGACTTCTCGTTTAATATCAAGGTTTTTAAAATCGGACCGGTCATTGAACCGTTTTCAGGTCTGGTTTTTGGTTTAATTGGTTCAATCGATTCAACCAATGAACCAATCGGTCCAAACAGCAAGGAAGATTTGATAAGAGGAGCAAGCTGCAAGCATGGATTTTCTAATTTGGTGTTGATAATTTTGTAATTTTGTTAAAATTAAAGGTTAAAATGGGTATAAGAAAGGAATGGGAAGGGTGAAATTGGAAAAAATTGAAAGAAGATTGCAAGAGAAATTGAACCAGTGGTTTTTTTGGTTCCATCGGTTTTCACCAGGTTTCATTGGTTTTTATCGGTTTTTACCGGTTTTGACCAATTTTGACTGATTTTGATCGGTTTGATATCAAATGGTTTTCTTATGTAAATCGAACCGTTTTCATCATCGGATATCGGTCTGA